TACGGCCCCAGTGGCAGCCATCACCACGTACCACCAGTGCCATGAGAAGGCCGGCGGAGATGAGAGGCCTGCACGGGGGAGGCGGGACACTTCATTACACTTAATAAACAAACAGTATGTACAAATGTGGCCTCAGTAAAGCAACGTGTGGACGAAAATCATCATTTGTCGATATCTTGCAAAATTACAAATGATGTCGAAATGATACAGTATGTAAATACCTCGCGCCAGTAAGGCTTAACCGCATTAAAGCTACTGTGTGTAAAAAAACGGACTCCTGTATGCACACACTGACTGAATACAAAATAAAGATACATGTAAAATGTTAAAAAAAAAAGTCAACATTTAATAATTATATTCAATTTTATTATATCGTACAATTATTATGATAATATAATAAAATTACTAACAGTAAAATGCATACAGTAATCCCTCGTTTATCGCGGTTAATGGGACCAAAACCACCCGCAATAAACGAAAACCGCGAAGTAGCGACCCCCCCATATAGGTACATGTACATAATATTTATAAGACCCTACTGTATGCACACGCTGACTGAATACAAAATAAAGATACATGTAAAATGTTTAAAAAAAGTCAACATTTAAAAAAATTATTCAATTTTATGATATCATACAATCATTATGATGATAAAATAAAATTACTGAATGAACAACAAAATACAGTAAACATATTTAAAAAAACTTTTTTTTTTTCAAGTCTGCAAACAGTCCGCCAGAAGCTGCGAAAGTCAGCAAAACAACAGCGAGTCACATAGAGCAACATATACAGTACTGTACTACATGTATATGAAAAAATATATATATATATATATTTTTAATGAATATGTTTGAAAAAAATCCGCAATGCACTGAAGCCGCGACAAAACGAACCGCGAAATAGTGAGGGATCACTGTATTCATGTTTTTAGTTTAGTTTTTGGTTCACAATAAAGAGAGAAAAAATGTATATTAAAAATTGTGAAAATAAACCACTTGTGGGGGAGGCCGTGACGTTTTATGCAACTCGTTATAAAATTACCATGAAATCATAGTTAGCATCGCTTTTGATTCTATATTTGTATAGTGTGACATGTTTACAATCTTCGACACTATGTAGGTTAAATGGATCTCTGAGTTAATGGTAGGACTAGATCTTTTTGCACTTTCATTTGTACCACTTTCGATCGGGTCAAAAGTTGATCTTATTCATGATGTAACCTCTTGTCGGTTGGTTTTTAATTTGCTTCTTTATTTTGTATTGTATTCAGTTTGATCCCCCGCATGTTTGAAATCAAGACAATCAATCAACCAAACCTATACGGACACGTCTTGATCTCTCACTCCACCGCTTTGTCTCGTCTGTCTGGCCCCATTACACTCAACAAACAGAGATGGCCAGCGCTTTAAATATTTATGAAGCCGTGTTCTGGTTCACACCAGCGCAACCTCGCCTTGCTTTTCTTCTCGTCTTCTCCCTCCCGTTTTTTTCCCCAGAGAGGAAGAAAGAAGGAAGGAAGAAAGGAAGGGAAGGGAGTCTTCCGCCGTGTGATGTGTCGTCACTCACCTCGGAATTCTATGAATGAGGGGGAAAAAAAAGAAGAAGAAACAGGGGCTTTACTAACAGGGCTAACTTTATTTCCGCAACGCTGCTTGTACCGTATCATTTAAAAGTCGCTCATTGCATTTGCAGAGTAAAAGTCACATTCAAAGAAGGGGTTCAAAGTAGTTTCAAACTACAGTTAGGGTTTTAAATTAGGGTTTCAAACTACGGTCAGGGTTTCAAAGTAGGGTTTCAAATTAGGTTTAGGGCTTCCAATTAGGGTTCTGATTATGGTTTGGGTTTCAAAGTAGAGTTTTATACGAGGGTTAGGGCTTCAAATTAGGACTTCAAACTATGGTTTGGGTTTCAAAGTAGAGTTCTCAAACAAGGGTTAGGGCTTCAAAGTAGGGTTTCAAAGATTAGGTTTAAGGTTTCCAATTAGGGTTTCAAACTAGGGTTAGAATTTCAAAGTAGAGTTTTAAACTAGGCTTAGGTTTCCAATTAGGGTTTCAAATTCGGGTTAGGATTTCCAATGATGGCTTTAAATTTGGGTTAAAGTTTCTAAGGTGCATTTCAATCTAGGGGTAGGGTTTCAAGGTAGAGTTTCAAATTGGGTTCAGGGTTTCCAATTAGGGTTTCAAACTAGGTTTAGGGTTTCCAATTAGGGTTTCAAACTACGGTTAGGGTTTCCAATTACAGTTTTAAACTACGCTTAGAGATTCAAAATCAGGTTTCATTAGGGTTAAGGTGTCCGATTAGGGTTTCAATGTAGGGTTAGGGTTTCCAGTAGGACTGCAGCTATCGAATATTTTTGTCTTCGGACACCCTACTATAATTTCTAATCGAATATTTGAATTTTTTTAAAAAGGCAGCTATTTCTTTTTTGTTGGTTAAAGAAACATTAGACAAAAAAACCACATTTCCACTCAATAATAAACGGCCAACTGGTTTTCATTTTTAGATACTCAACGATTTCTCGTTCAATTTCAACTGTTCTCCTTGAGACACATTACTGAGAATTTAGATCTCTCCCCATAAATGTTGGTCTTTGAGACAAAGAGACGTCAGAGGCACAGCAGCAATTTTGCCGGCTAAAACGACGCACTTGAGTCCACCTGGTGCTCAGTCAGGAAAGACACTTGTGTCAGGCTGTCAGCATCAAAGTGCGCAGAGTCATTTAAGTCTAAGGAAGTTTGAGTTTGTTTTAACCTGAAGCAGTGCGCAGAAATCTGACCTCAATGAGGCATCGATACTTCAACATGAATGCAACAGTATGTATAGAGTGTGATATTTTGTGTTTTATTTCTCACCAGGAGAGACGAGCGTCAGAGTCTGCGTGGGGCTCCAGGGTCCTCGCCCTGCTCCCGTGTATGCGCACACCTTGAAGGTCACGTTGCTGAGCGGGAGAGACAGGTTGATTGACAGCTCCGTGTCCAAGCCGGCATCCATGACAAGCTGTCATAGGGAGATAAGTCATGGTCCATTTTTTTTTTGGGGGGGGGGGGGGGGTTGTAACATATGAGAGTAAGTGTTCCTGAGAGAATGTGTGTGTCTCGGGTGGAAAAAGAGAACAATAGTGTGTCTGTGCGCGTTTGTGTGCGTAAGTGTATCTTGGGCTCACTCTCAGGAAGAGTGTGCCAAAATGAGTGCAAGAAAAAAAGTATTTGTAAGAGACAGAGAGTACCGTCTTGGACGGTGTTTTTTGCATTGAAATAAGACTGAAAAAGTGGGGGTCGTCTTATATTCGGGGTCTAGACATTATACCCATTCACGACGCTACATGGCGCCAGATATCATTGAAGCGAATGCTGAACTTGACTCCCCAGGCCAAAGTGAACCCCTGTCACGAAGAATAAAAATAAAAATAGCTGTAGCACGAAGAAGAAAAATAAAAAATAGCAGTAAGAAAGAAAAGAGAAGAAAATAATAGAAGAGATAACAGAAAATGGAGAAACGTAGCGACAATCTGGAGAAAAGTGGGTCGAAGATCGGCCAGGTTAACCGGCAGCTGAGAAGTTATGATGTAATTTACATTTCAAAAACCAGAAGCCATTCATTTACGAATGTGATTGCACTTTAGTTTACATATTTAAATGTTCAGATATTAAAATTTGAATGAGGCAAAATACCATGCTTTTTCTCTCAAATATATTGTTATAATCATTTGTTCCAGATGTACTGTAATTATTTTCTTTATAAAAATTAATTTGGTGTTCAAAAAGTATTTTTTCAAAGTCGAGTCTTGAAAAAGAGGGGGTTGTCTTATAATCAGGGCCGTCTTATCTTCGGGCCAATATGGTATGTGTGCGTTAAAAGTCACAAAGAGACTGTGAGAGAGTAACTAATTGTCAAAGTGTGTGTGTGTGAGAGATAGAGAGAGAGAGAGAGAGAGAGAGAGAGAGAGAGAGAGAGAGAGAGAGAGAGAGAATGAAAGTGGCATGGTGAGGATGTGAAACGTTTTGTGTGAGAGACAGCGTGAGTTATCAAAGAATGTACTGCATGGTGCAAGAGAAAAAAAAACATGGGCCTAAGACAGTGACTATATTTGCGTGAGAGAGAAAGTATCTCTCTCTTTCGCTCTCTCACTCTCTTGGTGTGTGCGAGAGAAATGCGTGTGAGATTTGGTATGCGTGAGCGGACCTGCTTGTCGTCGGGCGCGCTCAGCTCCACCAAGTATCCACGCAGGTCTCCGTTGAGCTTCCCCGCCGGCTCCTCCCACGCCAGCAGCACTCGGCTGCCGTTGCTCAGCGCCGTCACGTTGCCCGGCGCCTCCTCGGGCACTGAAACACACGAAACGCACGGGCACATCAAGTGGTCGTTGCACTCCACACAAGTGGGACACGCCATTGCACAACGACAACGCAAGGGACAGAAATCCACATTTGCAGTCCTCCTGTGCGTGTGCGTGTGTTATTGAATGAGGCAGTCTGGGAAACAAGGTCCAGGCAGAACGTGATGGTAATCAGGAAGTGTTTGCCATTTGATTGTTTCCACATGCGCTCGCCTCTGGCACGGCAGCCAAAACAAATGAAGCGCCCCTCCCTCGCTGCCTCCCTCCGCCCTCCCCCCTCGTCTCCTCCATCCCTGTACCGCTCCCCCTCCCAACTTTTCTTCTCCCCTTTCCATCTCTCTGAGGCCGAGCCTCTTTTCTTTTATGCGAGGGACGTTCAAGCGCACAAAGACGTTCATTGTTGCGAAAAACAAGTTTGCAAAGGGAACAAGAACGTTTTTTTTTTCCTGCTAACTCAGAGGGTGTCATGTTTCCCCCATCACTGCTCACGGAATCGTTTCCAGCACAGATGCGGTCAGCTGCGTATCCCCTCGGCGCGATTGCAACACACACGTGCGACTACCGTGGAACACGCTAAAGACGGCGCTGTTGCGTGACTTTTGAGCGCGTCTGTTTCCCGTCTTGGAAAAAGGTCACGGCGAGGCCAAAAAGCTGAGAGACTCCGAAAATAAATCGTGCGCTCCCACGGCCTGTCCAACGTCCTCGTCAACTTCACAACTTGGAAGGAGCTCCACCTGGGATCGTTTGGATTTTCAGCCCAGAGGCGTAACCGCGGCAACAAGTGTTGCCAGAAAACGTCAACATTAGTTGTGTCGCGCTTTAGGTAGCGTGTAACATGAGTACAAACGCGATATCCTGCTCGGATGAAAACGATTGACAAACATGACACCTTCCGCCAAAGGGCTCTCAAAACTTTTGTTGCAAGAAGTTGAAAAACAACAACCACCAAAAAAAAAAAAAACATGGTCATGTTACGATAAAAATTGCCTATTTTTAAAGAAAATCCTACATGAGGAATCCCGTTTAAAGGTGACTTGGGGATGAAAATAGCTGCTTCCATCCCCCCCCCCCTTTTCACCCACCAATTGCTATTCTCTCCTTTGGGTGGTGGTGAGCTGTAATGGGAAAATAGTAAAGGTTCCTCAAAGTCCTCCCACCTCCCCTTCCCCCATCTTCCACCCACAAGCCTCTTTTCTCTCTCTCTCTCTCTCTCTCTCTCTCGACTGTTTTCCCACAGTGCCTTGCTCCATGTGAGCTCATGTGAGGTCAAAGCCAAAAATGGGGGAAACGAAACACGAAGCTCGAGAGACACGGAGAGAAAGACAGCGGCGGCGCTCGAGAGAGGCTGGATTGTTTTCCTCAAATTCCTTGGTGGTACCGTTGGTGGCGTCTGAAGATGGCCAGTCAACTCAACAAGTGGTTAGCACATAAATAGCAGAGCGCAGGAGGAAAAGGCTTGCTTTCGAAAAGGGGGACAGTCAAGAACATTGTCGGCCAATGAGAAACATATGCGGCAAAGACGCGGAGACTTTGGGGGGGAAATTTTGACCTGATTATTTCGCGGCAAAAGTAGTGGGACACACCTTTTAATCCATCAATGAAATACATTTGTGGCCCTGCCACTAAATTGTTCATGTCATTAACAGCTTGTGGAGGATTACTGTACATGCCACAAGCAATTTGGGATTTGATATTAATTCAGTGAGCGCTCTTGCTCTGACAGAAAAAAAACAATCGGAACGTTCGGAGACGCGTTGTGGTAAAACAAGTCAAGCGTCCTGTTCCTGTTGTCCACCTTTGTCACTTATTGGACATGCGACCTATTATTTTGGGCCATATTTCTTATTTCATGTGGTCTATCGTGTGTATGTGTCCATATCTGTCACTTCCTGTGCTTTTTGTTGAAATTGCGTCCCATTATCTTTGTTCGTATTTGTCCATTTCTGTCGTTTTAGCGGACACTATTCCGATGACTTTTGTCCATATTTGATACTTCGAGTGGTTTCAGCAGAAATGCGTCACATTATTTTAATCTGGATTTGTTCACGTGTCCCAATACTTTTGTCTATTTTTCACTTTCTGTAAATTTAATGGGGAGGTACCGCATTAGCGTATGCATCACTTCCTGTAGCTCGTGCCATGTATCCCGCTACTTTGATCCACATGTTTCTCTTCCTGCAGTTTTCAGTGGACACGCATCCCGTGATCTATGTGTCCCAGTTCTCTTGTCTATATTTTCCACTTCCTGTAAGACATGCGTCCTGGTACTTTTGACTTGAGTTGTTCCTCCCCGTCGTTTAAGCAGACATGTTTCACATGACTTTTATTTTCCATTATATTCACTTTCTGTCACTTTGGTGTCACTTCCTGTATTTTTAAAGGATACGTGTCCCTTCCACATTTGTAAACCTTGAGTCGTCTTAACACGTCACAGCCCTTCAGTCTATAATTTGCTTCGGAGTACACGCCCCGGTGCTTTTGTCCATAGTTTGTTTTAGTGTCCCATACGTCTCTTCCTGTAGTTTTAGTGGACACGTATCCCCGTAATTTGTTGTTGTTGTTTTTTTTAAACTTGATTTCGTTTTAGCGGACACATGCCCCAAATCTTCTGTAAAAACATTGTGTGTCTGCCAATGAGAACCAAATGTAAATTTGACAAAGACGTAAAGGTCGAGGGGCTTTTGAAATATGGCGGCGCTAGAACGAGATAACCTCCTGTCATGGCTTTCTGTGACCCTCCTGAGAAATTGAACAAACGCAGTGCTTGCGCTTTTTTGTAATTTTCTGTGAAAAGGAACAAAAAGCCTGATTGCTGAAGAAGTGAAACTGGACAGATTTTTTTGGAGCACAAACATCACAATTGCATGCTGTAGGCAGCATCGCTTCTCCTTTCTTTTTCTGAGGTCATGGAAAGCAACGATCAGCTGTCCCTTGCCTCCTTCACTCGTCCCGCCTCTATTTCCGCTTGCAATGCATGCTGGGAGCTGGCATGGAAACTAGCACCTCACTTTGAATGCAAACACGAGGTCAAAGTCGATGGTTATCACGGCTAGGAACGTTTCTGTGACCACTATCCTTCTTTCCGAAATGCCACACTGGCCCTAAACACACCGTGTTGTGTTCGAGGACCTTGGCACAGAAACATTGTAACTCACTCTCACTACCCTCAGTGGAATTAGTAGCCATCCATCTCTGTCTTCCATAGCTCCTGTCCTGTGCAGGGTTGCGGAATGCCGTGGCCTATCCCTGGCTGATGTCCCCGCAAAAGGAAACACACACACACCGTCACTGATTGGGAAATTACTTTTGTCCACATAATGTCTTAAAACCCATGTGCTGCAGTTGATGTAAATAAGTTTATATAACGCAACATACAATTTTACAAAAATTGTAAAAGTATTATTCCTGAATATTGATTTTACTTTCAACCACTCGACATGTTCAGTGGCATCAATGCTATACATACACATATAGTTCTTATTTTTTTCTTTGTATTTTTGCCCTCTATGGACAATAAAAGCGGTATTGTGCTATGACCAAAACATAAATATAAATCTATATAAATAAAACATGAATTGGAATATTTCATATCACACAATTTTTATGCTTTGTCTTTGATTTAAAGATGACAATACGCAAAAATCTACAAAAATTGTAGAAATTGTAACACATGGGTTACTGCACCTCAAATTACTTTTTTTCATATTTGTTCCTTCCTGTAGTTTTAATAGACGTATCTCCCGTGACTTTTATCAAGAAAAAATTATCAGTACAGTGGGACCTGGAAAATATGGGAAGTCGAGACGCGTTTTCCATGTAAAGCAAGTGGAAACGATGAGAGAGACAGAATTATCCAAGTGGAGACTGAGGGCAAGCAGAACAAAAACCCCAGAGCACTGCCCAGCCAAGTGGAGACTGTGGAGTAGGGTAAGCCCTGGTTAGCCAACTCACCTCCTTCCGCCGTGCGCATCTCCACCCAGGATGTCCAGCGCGATGGCCCCTGACTGCTGTGACACGCCACCCTGGCGGCGTAGCGTCTGTGGGGCTCCAAGTCCTCGGCCTGGTACTCGGGCGCGGGGACGTTCACATTCTGGTTGCAAATCATGTCATCCGAACCTCCGGGGAACGACTCGTCCACATGTTTGACCTGCGAAAGTCCAAAAGGGAAGCCCATTTTACTCGACCGGGTTCAGTTATGCTTCTTTTGAAGCTATTTCAAAGCAAGAACACGATTAGTTTTTCAGACAACTCAGATCACAACGGCACATTGCAAAATACCTACACCTAAAATAAAATGTGCTTACTTTGTCGACTAGCCACTAGCCAAAAAGATCACGTTTCCCTTTTAGGGCATGAGTTCTTTGACTTTTGAAACTGGACACATTGGAGTGTATGTGTGTGCCTGATGCTGATTGGAGGACCATTTTTGTTTTGTTTTGTTTTGGGGGGTGTTTTTATGTGCCTGTGTGGGGACGCAGGCAAACATCCTGAGTGCTGCCTCGGCACAATCTCTGCGACGCTCGCTGTCCTTGCTGTGGTCCGCTTGGGCCACTCTGACCACATGCAACTTCCCCGCTGTGGCTTTGGAGTGCACAAGTGCTGGAAGTCATCATTATACAGCATGCTTGTCGTCTGTGTGTGTGTGTGTGTGTGTGTGTGTGTGTGTGTGTGTGTGTGTGTGTGTGTGTGTGTGTGTGTGTGCGCGCGTGTGTGCAGGTGTTTGAACTTTCAAGCGATCGCTGCACTCACTCACGTTTGCACAATGTAGTGTGAGTTTGGGGGCGTGTCCCCCCCCCCTCCCCTCCCCGGCCTAAGCCTCATGTGTATCATTCCTGACCCCGTGAGTCACATCCAGGCTGCAAACTGGCGTTTAATCTCGTTGAGTCACAGCACATTCCCCCTCGTTCGGCCCACACATCATTCCTGTTGCCTTTTCCTGTTTTTAAAAGTTTTTTTAGTCATTTGGCGCCCCAGACATGACTTGGGAAAAGTGTTTTGTGCTGGACAGTTGGGTGACAAAATGGCATGCACTTCCTCTTGAAACGGTTTGGTAGATGTCGAGGTCGTTGGGTATTACAGTTTCGAGCGAAGGTGAGCTTGCTTGCCCTGATGTCCAAATTGTGCATGAGAATGGATTTAAAGCTCCAGATTAATATTTTGTGCACGTTTTACCTATTTCATGGCCACAAATATACAATCGTAGAAGCCATGCAATCATCTTTCCCCATTGAAATGAATGCAAACGCCATCAATCTGTTCTAGCATCGTCCTCCAAAAACGTTCCTGATCAAGAAAATAGCAGTTCTGAAAAGAGAGTAATAACAATTAAATAGAATGTGAAAGAGTTCTTTCTGCACAGTTTGTACGTCATGATTTTATGCTTCAATTCTGTTGCGTTCAGAATTTGCGTCAGTTATACGCAGATTTTCATGATTTGCATGCCGGCCTGCTCCCTATCCCACGCAAATAGCTCGGCTTCGCTTTAATCAAAACAAAAGCAGCAAGCCAAATGTAAAATTACTCCAAAGTATGTTGCATTGTTTAACTCCAAACGAATAAGCACAAGTCACCCCAAAAGTTAGTTATGGAAATGTGATTGCGTAAATGTTATATTTCACAACTCACCACTGAGAATGGTACAACAACATTACAGCCACAATTCAAAAAATAATCATACATTTGTTCCCATGTCATGTTTTTATTTGCCATATTCGACTTTTTATTCTGAGCCTTCTACAACAAAGCCGGAACATTTTTTTTGCCCCATTCTGCTGCGCCTGGCCCCTCACGAGAGGTAAGAGGAGCAGTTTTATTAGAACCAGACGTTTTGGGGTGGCGCCGCTAGCCGTAATGGCCACCAAGAGAGAGGCCCCGTTGCGTCACATTAGTTGAAGGAGGCCCACTTTCCCAGAGCGAAACCCGAGCCCGTTATTCAGTGGGACAAAGCTGTGCGGGGCTTGGGATGGTGTGTGGGGTTTGTCTTCATTTTTCTGAAGAACTAATACACTCTCTTGGAAAACTCACCTGTATGGTGCAGCGGATGACCGGGTAATCGCCGCCGAAGCCAGGTTGCCATGACAACCGCAGACTGGTGGGCGTGATGTTAACGGCTCTCAGGTGGTGAGGTGCGGACGGCAGCACTGATAAAGAAACAGGCTATTGATTGAAAAACCTTCACGTTTTAAGCAAGTCACGAGAAAAATCAAGCAAATCAAGTCGAGTATTTTAATACATTTTAGCCAAGCAAGCCCAAAGCAAGAATCGAGTCAGGTCATGTGACTTGTAGACCCAGTCTCTGCCCCTTACCGGTAACAGTGCCGGAACCAGAAGCGGCCACGCCCTTGCGGTTCTGGGCCTCACAGGAGAAACTGCTGGTCCGGTTTAAACCTGAACGGGGAGAAAAAAATGGGCATGAGAAGGGGAAATTTTTGGTGGTGCGACTCTTCAAAATGTGAGTGAGGTGCAGTTTGAGCTGATGCGGGACAAAAAAAAGCCAGTGAAGAGAGTTGTGGTTTCCGTGGCAACGTGAGTCAGCAGATGACTGGGCAGAGCGAGTCGACACAAATTTTCCATCCATTCATTTTCTCGAGCACTGGTCCTCAATTCTTTCAAACAGCTCTTTGGATCGTGCAGCCTTATGTTTGGTGAATATAAATACTGGTGTGCAGGTTTTAAAATCCAATTTTGTATGCAAGTTTTATGGCCTTAACATTGCAGTTATGGTTTGTTTGTTTTTTTTATTTGGTATTTACAAAATTGTTCTTGGGTTCATGTAACCCACTGCGTTTGACTTCCAAAATTGCCGGGTCAGTAATCTTAAAATACATTTGCCGCAACTGACGCCATCACTCAACAAGCAGAGTGGCTAACAGGTTAGCCAGCCAACTCTAGAGTCTTGCTCAGTGACTTCCACATACCTCTGCAGGCACAGATACATTCAAAGTCACAGACACGACAGTGTCGCACAGGAGGATTGCAACCCCAAAATGACAGTACTGTACTACTACTTAATCTCACATGCATATATTTTAGTATTGTATGCCTGAAGCTTTATATTGGTCTGGAAAGTACAACACATCCTAAAAATATACAACAAATGCACAAGGACCACACCACCAGAAGACTCAGCTCTTTTAAGAACTGTCCCAAATGCAGCACTTTGGTGACAATTTGTTCAGTGACGAGTAACCACACAGCTTTGCCTTATCCAGAGGGCCAACGAGTGTCTCACCTCCTGACATCGGCGTAGTCACACACTTCAGACATTCCAAAACATTCACATCATGTGACCTCGCAGTGTTGTCAAATGTTCTCAAGTGGTGCCAGTCAGACACACACACACACACACACACACACACACACACACACACACACACACACACACCCCGGCATGCGTGCACACACACACTGCCACCAGTGTGTCATTCATGGCAAGCTGGATGCACCAAAGCCTCCATTGTAAGCTGGGCGGAAAAAAAGAACGCAGACTTCCTCCCTTCGCTTTGGGATGTTCAAGGCAAACTGTGTGTGTGTGTGTGCTCGTGCGCATCTGTGTAGAGGGACTTTCATCTGGAGATTGCGCAACTTGCCCTCATGTGCCGCACGCAGGCCCACGCTGGCACGTGCATGTTGACTAGCATCTGCTTTTTCAGTGGAGCAGCTTTCCTATGCGCTGGACAACATCGAACACGTGATTCACACTCCTGTCTAACGTTCGAGAGGTTTATTGCGTAGCGACATGCGGGACATACTTAAGCTTGAGTTTAGTGGGAGCTAAAGTCCACCAAGATAAAAACGTAACCTAGTAGCAGGACTTCATCCGGTGAGATCCAACACAGCAGCAGTGTGCCGGCCCTGTCCAACTTACGGCTTTTTTTTTAATATTCTGAATTTGGTACTAGTGATAGGTGGTACCATGGAAGGCAAAGTGGCAAGTGCGACTAGCAAACTTAGTACCTGTGAATCTGTTGGTATTGGTATTGGTAAAATTAGTACCTGTGAGGGTGGTACTAGTGAGAGTGGGCCGTACTGTTTGAGGCTGGTACCAGTTTGGTACAAGTTGTTGGTACCTGTTTGGTGGTACTGTTAAGATAGCTACCCGTGAGGTTGCTACTGTTGGTGCTTCAATGGTGTTCTGTTTTGGGGTGTCACAAATAAGATTAGAACCTGCAAATAAGACCGGGAGGTAGGGTGTACTCGTATGATTGGTATCAATGAGACTGGTACTTGTGAGATGGTACTAGAGGGACTGAGGGTTTTATGGTACTGGTAAGGTTGTTACCCTTGAGGTTGGTAATGTTGGTGTTACATTTTTGGGTGGTACAAGAGTTTTGTTTTGTTTTTTTAAGTAAGGCAAAGTGTTGGGGGTGGTGGTAAGACTCGTATGGCTGGTACTGTTGGCATTCAATTTGGGGTTGAACCAGTTAAATTGTTCCCGGTAGTGCTGGGTATCAGTGGGGTCAGTATTGAATGGTAGTACCAGTTAGGTTGGTATGAGTTGAATCCGGCTGAGGGCTGTTTCTAAAATTGTGGTCTATCCATTCATTTTCTTTAAGCATTTATCCTCATTACGATCATGGCTGAGATGTATTTTATGCAGGTGACTGGTGGCAAAAACCCCAGAGACTGGCACATAAAGCAAACACCCATTCACATTTTGGTGTTTGGGCACGGAACACCTGGAAGCAGGAAGAGTCGGGATTCAAACCCCCATCCTCTGAACTGTGAGGCAGACTCATAATACGGCTCCTCCACTTGAGAGCTAAAATATGACAAACATGCAGAGCATGACTAAACTCGAATGGCATTCGAGTTGACCTTTGCCAAGGCTGAGGAGTCCCTCCTGAATTCATGTCCAATCCCTGCATGCAGTATGCCCAAATTTGGTAATGCCAGAAGATCTGGTTTCCAACGACATCATGGGTTCCTTCGTTGGTCCGAGCCAGAAGTCTGTGCAGGTGTACCTATACTTTGTTCTCAGCTTCTCAGAGTTTCCCCCATGTTCTCTCCGTGCCTGCTGGAGGACGATTTGTGAGCTTTGGAGCAGCTGTCCATTCCACGGAGGTGAGTGTCAATTCCTGGTCAGCACTCATCCGAACTGTTCCGATGAGTCAAACCAGATCCTGGCACCTCACCGGCTGCCCCCAAATCCGCTCCTGCGTGACTCAGCCCGCTCCATCTCACAGAGTCTTCAGCCTAGCTATTTGTGTTCTCCCCTGAAGCACCCCTCGGCCCTAAGCTGGCCCCCGCTTTCTTCATCTCCCTCCCCCCTCATGCCCGAGCTGGCAACCACGCGACCACAAGGCCGTCCTCGGCCTGATAGCCTCTGGCTTCTCCTCGCTGATTATCTCCTCGTTGTCTTTGAGCCAAGATGTGTTGGGAGGCTTGAAGAATGCTACAATCTGCTTCACTTCATTCAATTTGAGTGGATTCCAGTCCAACAATGACTGCTGTTTTTTTTTTCCAGTTTCAAAATATCCGAAGTTCGGATCCTAAATTTAATTCATTTGTAGAAACAGCTCATTGTGGGTTGGCTTTTGCCCCTTGAGGGGTTGATACCAGTACCGGTAAAGGGACAGGTGGCACCAGTGAAGGAGGTGTATATTGTATGAGGTCGGTGTGTGTGAGTCGGTGGTGTGTTTTTTTTTTCATATGGTACTAGTGAAGTTGGTACCTAGAGGTCTGATCCCCGGTAATAAACTGTATTGTGTGGTAAGACTGAGATGGGTGCCGGTGAGGCTGGTACTGGTACCAGTGAGACTATTACTGTTGGGTGGTAGTGGTAGGAGTGATACCAGTAAGATTGGTACCAGTGAGGAGGTGTGCTGGGTGGTACTGGCATGGTTGGGACCTGTGATGTTGAGCGTAGAGGGCGACAGGGCCACCGGGTCGTCCACAGTGTTAAGAGGAGCGCCGTCCCGAAGCCAGATGACTCGGACGGGTTCCGGCGGTCCGTGTGCCACGCAGTGCAGGCTCAGCGGCACATTGGCCACCACGGACATGTGCTGCGGCTCGGTGGAGAAGTGAGGAAGGCCTGGGGAAGAAAGCAGCCGCGTCAGAATTGACTTGATGATGGTCCGGTTTTCTAGAGCGTCCTTAGTGGACTCACCTTCCAGCAGGATGCTTCCCTTGGTGGACAAAATCCGCTCGCTTCCCAAATCGACTGCGCACTGATAGTTTCCCATGTCTGAAAGTTGGACGCTTTTAATCCTGTTGAGCGGAAGATTTGATGAATTGATTGATCATTTTAAACCTGCAGTCGTGTTATATCATTAGTAGTTTTTACAGTACAGTGATACCTTGAAATACAAATTTGAATGAGAAAAATGGCACTGTATAATACCGTACATCGGGACGGCTCAATACGATCGCGATTGACCGGTAGCCCGTGGACTGGTGTCTGTGTGCGTGTTATTAATATGATATATTTTGTGTGAGTGCACACTGCACCCTTAGCATCCTTTCACTTTCACTTTCATCAAGAAAGTATTAAAAAAAATAAAAGAAAACAAAAAAAGCAGGTCGCCTTTAGCCGACGGTGGCGCAGAATATTTGCCAGAGTTCTGCCATTTTATTCGCTGTTGTTCCCACAGAGCGGAGAGACTATGCCTGTCAGCCATTTTGTTTTTATTAGCGCATCTGTGCCGTTTCACATTAAATGTTAGCATAAAAGTTAGTGGGCTTTGGTTCGATAAAATAACATCGTTTGGTTGAACATGGTGGTGTTAAAATATCAAATTTAAATCTTTTTTTTTGTTTTATGTGTCAGCTTTACTGTAAATTCCAACAGAAAGTGACAAACAGCTTGAAGCAAGCACACCGTGCGTCTTATTAGGAGTGTGAGAATAGACGCTAAGGGATACTTGAAAAGGTGTGTTCTCATTCCGTTTCAATTATCGGTAGTTTTAAGCAGATGAAAAGGAAGAAGTGAAACTAACCTTTCCCATGACCAAAGATATATCATCCCATATTCTGTATGCAGCATATTTTTTATGTATTCTTTGAAACGGGTTTGCATTTTTGTGCCTTGGCTTGAATCTGTCACTCATTCTGTTCCGGTTTCACACCACTGTCGCCAACCTGTTAAAAATTCCAATGTTGTATTGGCGCATCAAATGTTCATTTCCTCCTCCCTATTTTGAAACTTTAGAATTTATTCTGGTTGTTTTTTTTTTTTTGTTTGTTTTATGCCTTGTGTATGAGTCGTCATCTGATCCAATCTGTGAAATTGACTTTGTTTGATTTTGAATCCAGGAAATTAACAAGACAGTCTTCTTTTCTTCTTTCCAAATGGGTCGTTTTGCTAATTTGTCAAGAGTGATTAAGGACAAATTAGCCACAATGCCTCAACACGAAATTTTAATATATTGCCAAAAATCAGTGCTTAAAGTAGAGAGAGAAAAGACACATCCCAATGGTGTCCCAGTTCCGTCACTGAGGTTTAAAAAAAAAAAAAAAAAATCACAAAGGAGCCAAGCCACAGGAGACAAAACTTCATCTTCTTTCATTTCAGTTGTTCTGAACAAGATGTCCGGTGACGCCGCCTACCTGAGGGTGCTGTGTACAATCCAGCGGCCCGTGCCGAAGACCGGCATTTGGTAGTCGTCGTATTCGGCGAAGGGAAGCGGCTCGCCATCCTTCAGCCAGGACACGTTGGGCGGAATCTCGTCATCGGCGACCGTGGCCAACAATGAGCACTCCAGCCTCACCGGTTTGCCCGCGGACGAGAGGACGGTGGCCAGTGGTTTCTCGAACGCCAAATCTGTTATTGGGAAGAATAAGGTACTGCGTTTTGAAATAATGACAAATCAGTCGAATTTACTTGAGTTCAGCGGCAACTCGGTTAAGTACGGGTGTTCGACTCATTTGTCTCATGGGCCACATCCTGGTTACAGTTTGCCACAGAGGGCCATTATGACTGAAAACCATGTACAGTCATTATATAATCACCACATCTATTGTTCCCTACATACACTAGCCCAGTGGTTCGTAACCTGTGTTCGATCGAACGCCAGGGGTTCGGTGAATCGGTTTCAGGGGTTCGACGGAGCCTCTGCCGTGGAGGTGAAGACACAAGCCGACTCAACATGTCAATTAGTTATGTCACGCCCGCTTGGCCATCGCTGACTGCAGATGATCACATGACATTGCTTGTCCAATCAGTGCTGTGGGAAATTTAGTTCGCTCGATAGTCAACGTGTGAATGTCGTGATAGTATGTCGTACAATTAAAAAAAAAAAAAAGTATACTGATCTCTTGAAATTTTATTTACTTTTTACTGGTTTTAATAAATGCGTTTTTTCTTTTATCTTGAATTTGTAAAAATATATATATTTTTTTTTTCACTAAGGGTTCGGTGAATCTGCATATGAACTGGTTGGGTTCGGTACCTCTAAGAAGGTGAAGAACCACTGCACTAGCCCCTGCCTTTGATTGTTATTTAACTCTTTCGGGGAGAGCGGTTACTATGGTGGACAGCATCATGTCATCAAGTTACAGGTTATCGTTATCGGTACACGAAAGGGTTCAAGTCAAATGTCACGTAAGATTGTGACATGCAAACAATTGGATTTGGTGAAAAAAAAAAAAAAGATTGTCACATCTGTTAAATGAATAAACATTGCAATTTCGCTCCAGATTTTCTTTCTGACGACCAACCCCCCCTCCACCCCCCCAAAAAAAATCCCTTCAGCAAGAAACATAAACTAGACACATTTTATTTGCCATAGTGGGTCACATAAAGTTGTATGGTGGCCAAGCTCCGGAAATGCAGAAATGCACTTTCTTTGGGTTGGAATGTGTTCATCAGAGGAGACGTGATTGCAGGATCAGATGTTTTGGGGTGTTCACCACCCGTCCTGGAAAGATAAATTTCATAGTTTTGTACTTTGAACCCAATTTCGATGAAAAAGAAGCTTGACACTTTTGGGGAAAGTGTGTGACTCAACAATCCAATCGATCTGCTAAAAGGTGATATAAACGTTGAGCCACAGCAAAATAGGTTTGGACTTATAAAAGGGACTTTTCTAATTGCTGGTGGAAGACAATTCATTTTGATTCAGCAGGACCTCTACAGACACATTATTAACCATATGTTTGTTTGTTTGTTTTTTCAGGCGTAAACCAGCTGGTCAATCGCACCTTGTCTTGAATAGTAACACATGCACGTGACACAAAAGCTAGTTTCTCTCGTTCCAATTCAAACAGATGATGGTAATGGTGCCGCTGACCACCTGAACTGTACCAACCTCAAACTTTTGCAATTTTGGATGGCTTGAGCACCCCCACCGCCCGCTAAAAAAAAATTAGCTAGAAAAATCTTGGGATATACACAAAATTGGCTCTCCCTTTGATTTATTGGTAGCAACAAATTGAATTTAACCCTTTCATGCACCCTGTAACCTGATAACATGATAAGCCGTCCACGGTAGTAACCGCTGTCCCTGAAAGGGTTCTAGTCAAACGTCCTCGTGGCATGGAAATGTATAAAACCATTGTTCGGTTTATGTTTAGAGAGGATTTTGCTAGGGGAGGGGAAAAAAACCAAACCCTAATGATAAAAGTCAAGAAAAATTGCGATTTCACAACAGATTTCCTGCTAACCCGAAAAGAAGAAATTAATTTAGCAAGAAACATTGGATCACTCAGTGTGAAAGATTATCAGGGGCATGGCAAGCAACTCGCCTAATTGTGCCTGCTCCGGTTGAAAGCAGCCGGAGAACTGATAGATGACGAGCTGACCTTGATATTGGGGACAAAGGCCGCTTGTGGCCGAGTGCAGCTCAGCCGCATGTTCATTTCAGGGCATGTTGGTACTCATGTCTTCAAACACTTGTTTTTAGTGTTGCCACTGAGTTTGTTTCTCAATGTCTTACACAGTGTTCTTTCTTCTTCTTTTTCTTCTTTGAAAAGGCGTTTTATTCATGTTAGTAATTGTGTGTTTCTAAGCGAGTGTCCTTAGTTTGTTGCCAAGCGCGTGAGCAGTGTTCTCAGTGTGTTTTTAAGCATTTTATCAAGTCTTAAATGCTTGGTGTATTACGCGCTTGGGTTTGCCATTAATATTCAAGATGAAAAACTGTTTCCCTCTCGGGCAGCCTGGTTGGCCAGTGGTTAGCGTATCGACCTCGCAGTGCAGAATTCGTGGGTTCGATCCCGGCGCCGGCCTCCCTGTGTGGAGTTTGCATGTTCTCCCCCGGCCTGCGTGGGTTTTCTCCGGGTACTCTGGTTTCCTCCCACATTCCGAAAACATGCATGGCAGGCTGATTGAACACTCCAAATTGTCCAATTGCCCGGCGATTAGTTGGCAACCGGTTCAGGGTGTCCCCCGCCTACTGCCCGAAGACACCTGGGATAGGCTCCAGCGACCCTTGTGAGGATAACGCGGATCGGAAAATGAATGAATGAATGTTTCCCTCTGGTTTTGGCTTTTGAGGCTGCACTTCCAGAATATTGCATTTTATCACAATTAATAAACGATAAAAAGAGGTAGGAGGAGGTTGATACAGACACCCCACTTGGAGCAGAAATTTAAAGTGGAAAAAAAAAGGGAGGTGCTTGTGAATATTTTCATTCATCCAGGTCGTTTCATCCCCATTCTCATTGACACAACCTACTGAATTTATCATCAGTGTTTAGAATTGAGTGTGCAGACAAATGTCTTGAGTTCACTTTCAGACATTAGGAAAATGTGCTTTCTGCCCCAAAAAGCAAGAGGTCTCCGCCCCCTGTCAAAGGTGGGAAATACTCACACACACACACACACACACACACACACACGCACGCCCACACAAACTTTTTAGAGCGCCACAATAAATCTCACATGAGCGACGTATGTGCAGACTTTCTCAAGATGCTCTCCCCCCCCCCCCCCACCACCCCTCCCAACCCCTTACGTGCCCCTTTCGTCTGCTTCACCGCCAACCTTCCACCTCCGACCTCGGGTGACTCCTCCGCCATTCATCTTGCTTGTGTTGAATACCCAGAATTCAACAGTGGGAAAAAATACAAACACAACGTAACAAAAACAAGCTCGGGTTTGAGTTCAACATGCCCACAAGCCAAGCGTGTTACCAAGTGGCTGAATAGGTCGCGTGTTACCAAGTGCGTTACCTCGTGTCTTACCAAGTGGTTACTTACTACATGTTCCAAGTGTTACCAAATCAGTGTCCAAATGATGATTAATGACCTTATGGTGGAAAAAAATTCAACATTGCATGCTGCAATGCATCCTGGGACTCCCACCCCACAACACGCGAACCGCTGACAGTTCGTTTGAAGTGCATGAAGTTGTCAATCCATGATGCAAATTACTACCACTATTGTTAATTTCTTTAAACTACTTTCCATGCAACAGCGGGCGGGGTCTTTCAAAAGGCCACGACTTGTTTGAATCCTTACAAGTAAACAAAAAAAGCTCCAGTTTGGACCATTTAAGTATATTTTAATACTGAAATTATTTGTACCTTGGGGTCAATTGCGGCTTGCGGGCCCTGTAGGGTACATCACAAAGAGTTGTACCTTGGAGAAGAAAAATGAGAGCACCACAGTAGCCTTTTTTTTTTCCTTGACGGTGGTAAAGATTGAATTGACGTGAGTGTTCATCTAAGGCTCAGTGGAGAGCTCTTGTAGAAACGTATCGAGATGAGAATCACAAGCTCAAAAGGCTTTTTGATGAGATGGCGTGCGTGTAAATTCAAATGCTCCATTTCTCCTCCCTTGCATCCCGCCAAACTCCCTCTGGGTCTCACTGTGTGTGTTTCTCTGCCAAGTGGCACACAAGCAAACATGCGCCCACACGGTGCCTTCTTCACCCCTTCCTCCCATTCAGCCTCACCATTCATTCATGACCTCACCCACTCGCCCCCCTCATGCCCTCCCGTTCCTCATCCATCCATCGAGCCATACGTCCGTCACGCTCCGGTCTGACACACAGAAGCCCGCCTGTGACTCACAAGCAGACTCTCCCATCCTCCTCTTAAACTCTGAGGCTCCACATCGGAGCTCTGAGACATGGAGGAAAAATGTGGGAGCTTATTGATTTACAAGCGCCGACAGTCACCTGAGGGCCATGTGAGTTTGACACAGTGGCTCCACACCAGGGAACGCTTGTTCTACCGAGGTTGTCGGCAGCTTAAGGGTAACGAACTTTGCTTCTTTTTTGTTTTGTTTGTTTAATTGTAAAATGATGACAAATTGCATTGAGGCAGACATATAAACTTGGATAAACTTTGCGAATGCGGTGTGTGTAGGAGAGTTTTAGTCTCTACAAGTGTTTACTTTTCCAACTGATTACTCCTAGAACATTTGTAGGAAATCACAAAGTCATCATTTGCGAGCTATTTTTAGAAAAGGCCAGCGAGACATGGCATTTTCCAGTCATTTTCAATGGTTTGGCTATTTTAAGTTTCGGGCACAGTCACGAACAAATCTAACTTGTTTCCAGCTGTAAGGCGGATGTGCTAGCCACTCGTCCACTGTACTAGGTGATATGAAATGTTATTAAATATCAAGAGTTCAAGTCGCTCACTGACGATAAATTTTGGTCATTCCTGCTCTCAGTGGCACCAGTCATTTTTGTTTCACCTGCCGAAGGCTACCAAAAACATTCCCCATGTCAACAGCTTGACAGCAACGTGTGTTACGATTTCCACAACACTTCCTGGGTTTTATTCATTTTGTCTCTGTCATTAATCTTTCCTGTAGACTGTAGCACTAGTTCTCAAGCTTTCGACACCACATACCACCTCAGAAAATGTTCGCTGCACCACCATCATGACTAAAAAAAAAAATTTAAAAAAGCGTTTACTCCTGAAAAGTATATTGAATAACACAATTTGAACAGTAACACTGATCTTAAATACACGAGGGCACAAAACTACTCATTCATTCAGAAATAAAATACTGCATGTTAAAGTTAGATAAAAACTATTGTGTTTAACTTACATCTTAAATGCAATTGTATAGGATTTAAAGGTTTAGTGTTTAATTCAGTGATTCTTTTGCATACCACTAGAGGGGGCCCCGTAACAAGTTGACAAAATGGGTTATGAAACAAATACAGTATGCAGTTGAATAAGCGTGTTTTTGAACTCTGTATATGCAAAAGCTTCAGTCAATACAAATATCTGTAGATATGTTTAGTTTGACATATTTTAGGTCTGAAAATAAGTTTCCATTTAACTCATCTTATTTTTAACTGCTTTCTTATTTTTAACTGCTGTTGTCATAGTTATCAATGAAATATCTATATTTTAAAATGTATCCATTATTGCGTATTTATATTTTATTGAAAATATATTTCGTTTTTAATGAATGTTATGTACTATTTTTTAATTCTTATTTTTAACTGCTGTTGTCATAGTTATCAATGTAATACTGTATCTATATTTCAAATTTTATCCATTGTTGTATATTTATATTTTATTGAAAATATATTTTGTTTTTAATGAATGGTATGCACTATTTTTTAAGCTTTCCTGGGTTTGATACATGAAATCAATTAGATGTATAAAACGCAACAGTACAAACAATAAAATGTCAAGCAAATAACTCAATCCATGACATAAGTGAACAGAAGTACGTAAAAAAAAGAATTAAAGACTATTATGAAGTTCAATATTTGTCTTTAAAGTATGGTTGAAATGTAATTTGTAGATGATTCGTGTCATGCATTTTTATTTCTATTTCAATATTTTTACTTACACATAAGTATTCAACTTTTAAATGCAACCTGCGGTTCTGTTTTTGTTTTAACCGTCAGAGTATAAATATTAGTCATATTATTTACAACTGAAATAGGTCGCTTTTATTTTCTATGTATTTTAAATTTGAATTAATGTTATACATTTTTAAAACTTCCCAGCTTGGGACTCAGCAGCCTATTTTGGATGTGGAGCTCATGATCCAGATGTTTACCTGCCTCACCTCTTCAAATTCATCAACAACTTTCACCTCCTTCTCTGTGCTCCCCCCCCCCCAAAAAAAAACAACAACAACAAAGCGCCTTTCTCTTTACAAACGTCACTCTTGAATCGGAAAGAAAAAAAAAGAAAGGGGAAAAAGCGTGCGCTGTCAATTTTCACAAAATGGCGCGCGGTCCAAACCTCGCAGGCAGACCACCTTCGCTGGACCACCGGCGACCATCAAGACGACCAGCAAGTGCGAGACGAACCTAGTGGAACCGAGCGGTCCCCCCCGAAAAGTGGGCTCCCTTTTCGATTGAGTCATCACCCTCTTTCGTTCCATCATCTTCTCATCATGTCGCACTTTTTCAAGTGGGAGAAAGTCGTCCGCGACTCGAATCAAGTCCACTTGTTGTCTCCACCAAATAAAGCGACTATAAAGTCAACAAAAATCCTCCAAGTCCACTTTCGGTCCACTTTTGGGAACGAGTGGTTGTGTGCGCCGTCCCGTCACAGTCCGCGTACATTCCTCCACTCCCTCCTTCCTCCTTTCCCCTCCTCCTCCTCCACCTCCTTATTTTCCTCCTCCTCTTTTCGAGCAGGACTCAAATTCCACAAGTCAGCTTCTTTGCACCCTCCTCCTCTCGGTCGTCCTCCTCCTTTTTTCTTCAGAGGATGCCCGAGCCCCCGCAGCCTTGCTGATTGTCTGCACGCACACAATCGGCTTTTTAATTGCACAGCGGAGGTTTTGCTGAACTGAACCACCGGGTGGGTTCAACTTGGATTTAGCTCCGCCCACGCGGGGACAAAACTACAAAGCATCGAAGAGCGCGCTTCAAACAATTCACGTCGTGTTCTTTGAATTCATATTAAAAATTAAACAAATATGTTGCCTTGAAAAGAAAGACAGTACAATGACTAAAACCCCAATTCCAACGAAGTTGGGATGAAATCCAGATTAAAGACTGAAAACAATTATTTTCAAATCATTTTTATGATGAGTACACAACAACAACAAAATATTTAATGGGCAAACTAATGAACTTTGTTTTTTTGTTTTTTTTTTCCAAATATGGTCTGATTTGGAATTTGATGTTTGCAACACCCCATAGGTGAAGAGGTTCATTGGGAACAGGTGAGTGTCATGATTCGCGACAAAAGGAGCATCCCTGAAAGGCTCTGTTGTTCACGAGCAAAGATTGCGAAAGGTTTAGGGGCTGCAATTTTTGAGAACTACGGGAGGAAACAGTCCAAGAACATTTCCCAACACACAATTGAAATGAATTTAGGGATTTCATCATCTATGGCCCACAAATGTTCTGGAAAGCGTTTTGTTACAGATGCAGCTGTGTGAATGCGCCATATAAATAAACATGTATTGTATTGTATTGTATAACATAATCAATAGATTCCGAGAATCTGGAGAAATCTCTCTAAGTTGGTCACTTAGAGAGATTTCTCAGCAAGGCCAAACACCAACGTATAATTCACACGACATTTGAGCCCAAAGGCAGCGCTACATTCAAAACCGACAGCTTCGTGGAAAGGATATCGCCACAAAGTCTCAGGAACATTTGAACTGTCAGTTGATATTATTTATGACTCCATCATCAAATGCAATTTAAAACTCTACCATACATGATAAATAACAGCACCCAGAAATACCCATGGTTCTCTGGGCCCGAGCTCATCTGAGATGGGCTAACGCAAAGCGAAAAAGTGTGCTGTGGTCCGACAAGTCCGTTGTGTTCCTATTGTTATCAGTGCAAAGTTCAAAAGCTAGCATCCGTGATGGTAGGCACCATTAATGCTGAAAAGTGCGCACAGGTGCTGGAGCAACATATGCTGTCATCCAAGCGACGTCAAGCAACATTCTGCATTTGTTACACCAGCGCGGCTTCACAGTAAAAAAATAAATAAAAATATAAGTATTATACTTGGCTGCCAGCAGTCCAGACATGTTTCCCATTGAAAATGTGTGACGCATTATGAAGTGAAAAATACAACAATGGAGACCACACACTGTTGAGCAACTGAAGTTGTACATCAAACAAGGATAGGAAAGAATTCCACCCACAAAACGTCAATAATATGCCCTCACCAAACCTTTAGTGAATGGTGCTAAAATTAAAAGGTGATGGAACACAGTGGTAAACGTGACCCTGTCCAAGCGTTTTGGGACTGTGTTTGTTTTGCACAATAAATACTGCAACCATGGGCCACCAGTTATCCATCCCTCAAGATGAGGGCCTACTGGATGCCTTCATTTTGGTTTTTAAATGTTCACCTGTCAAGCTGAAATGTCGCTAATACCAAATCGCTTCAAAATCCTCTTGGCTGCCTGAGATCCCTTCCGCTCTCTCTCTGTCTCTCTCTCTCTGTCTCTCTCTCAGGTAACGATGAGGTAAGTTACTTTATCTCAGTTGTCTGTTTTGGTGACGTAACAATTGCGCTGGAGTGCAGACTTCATCTTTCCCCATTGACTTTCATTCAAGGTTTGACATTTGCACTTGCTGCTCTTCAAAGCAATCGATAGGGCCAAGGTGGGGCATTACGTTCCTGTAACCTTTCGTCTTGGTCTACTCTAACAGGTCGGCGTGAGGCAGCGGAGATGGGCTAGTGAGAAGATATTCTTCCTCAGGCATGGTGATTTCTTTAAAAAAAAAAAAAAAAAAAACTGGAAACTTCCCCTTTAAGGTAGTGTTGCACCTGACCATGCACAGGTCACATGACTTTCATCAATAACTGTAATGTTTGTTGTGTCTTTTCTTTGTGTGTCTCCATCGCCCCCATACTACCCCATCCCTTCTCGTTCCCACGCTGGGGGCCTGCAGGTTAGGCCCTTTAAGAATGGCCCCGGGGCCCTTTAAAAGAGCCCCATTGTATACAGGCTGGCCTTTTCAATGGGCGTTCCAGCACTACTCCCAGATAGGAGGAGAGAAGGAGGGAGAAGGGATGGGGTGCGGGACAACAAAGGGGGGTGTTTTAAGACTTCCGTGGCTTGTGGGGTTGTAAATGCGTACGCGCATGTGCTTGTGTGTGGGCATTTTTGATTACAAGATCTACAGGGATTTGGCAGCGAGGCTAAAGTGGATTAAGAGGTTTGAAAGCACATTGTTGCAGCAGTCGGGTTATCAGGCCTGCACAGCAAAAACAAAACTGTTGTTTCCACATAGAAAACTTTGGGCACACAATGAATTTGAACCTCTATTTGCAAGCAAACACCCTGCCAGCCTCCCCACAACCCAAACCAACCCATCCCCTCCTAAAAAACTACTGTCACGTCACAGCGTCCTCTTAACACGTGACCAGAGAGCCTTGACTGGGGGATTCAGAGACTCTTGCGCCCCCTGATGGTGACTTAGCTATCACTACTCTGCCAATAATATTGACTGACAGCAAACCACAATGTGCAAAAGATGAATAACAAAAATAATGTTTGGATCAAATGTGTTCATGATTTTGTCCCACATCTTATTAACATTTGATGACCTTTTTAGTTATGATTCGTTTGTGATGCATTTTCCATTATTTTTATTGTCTATGTAATTGTTTTGATTTTTACACTTTTCATTATTTTGAATGGAATTTTTACCCATTTTCATGTTCGGTTTTATTTACTGTATTGTATTTTTACATAGCGACTCGGTGGTCCAGTGGTTAGCGCGTCGACCTCACAATGCTGAGGTATTGAGTTCACTCCCAGCTCCGGCCTCCCTGTGTGGAGTTTGCGTGTTCTCCCAGGCCTGCGTGGGTTTTCTTCGGGCACTCTGGTTTCCTCCCACATTCCAAAAACATGCATGGCAGGCTGATTGAACACTCTTATTGTCCCTAGATGTGAGTGTGAGCATGGATGGTTGTTCATCTCTGTGTGCCCTGCGATTGGTTGGCAACCGGTTCAGGGTGTCCCCCGCCTACTGCCCGAAGACACCTGGGATAGCCTCCTGCGACCCTAGTGAGGATAGCGCGGATCGGAAAATGAATTAATTTTACATAGCACTGTCATTTTATTTTGGTTAGTTTCTACATTATGGAATTGCAGACAGTACCAGGGGTTTATTTGAAGGGTGTGCCCATTTGAGAAATGTGAGATTTAATGGTTTGGTTCCGATTTATAGATAAATATGATCATATTTTATTGTATTTTGCCCGTGTAACGTTCGGCCTGAATGTGTGACCAGCATGGAAACATCTGTTTGGTTTTACTGTCATACATGTGTTCAGTGTTCAGTTTGGCTAGCGAGAATTGCGATGACTAATGGCTACCGTCTTCTGTTTGTCATTATTCACACATAAAAACAGAAGATCATCTCCAGATGTGACTTTTGCAAGCAGCAACAAGAGGGGGAAAACAATTAAAAAAAATAAAAAAACCAAAAGCACTTGGCACAGGAGTAACATGTCACATGAGAATTTCTGGGTTTTACCACAATGGTGTAGCATATTTAATCTATTTCAATAATGGTATCGGGATAAAAATAGGGATACAATAGGATGTTTCATACCACTTTTTTTTCAGACCAATAGCAGTTGAATAGCAGTAGTCAGTAGTATTCAAGACCAGTAGATACCAAGGACCGATACCACTCGTACTTTTGATAGATTAAAAAAAACAACAATGGCAGATAAATTTAAAGATTGATAAATTGTATGAAATTAGTGGTAATTTCTGTTATCTTTTTCTCCTTCTATACATATCCTAACACAATTGGCATCTCATTGGGCATCAGTCAAACATGTATGCTTTTAGTTGTCAATAGTAAATTGGCCACAAGAGGGCCAGTATCGGCCACTGTGACAAGTTCCGATACCTTGAAATAAGGCCAGGCAGCGATCTGATACCGGTACTCGCTCAACCTTAATATATCTATCTATCTAGCTATCTATAGAGAGAGAGAGACAGACAGAGAGAGAGAGACAGAGAGAGAGACAGAGAGAGAGACAGACAGACAGACAGACAGACAGACAGACAGAGAGAGACAGACTGACAGACAGACAGAGAGAGAGAGAGATTTTTATTTCTGATGGTGACTGCCCCAGACAGACAGACAGACAGAGAGAGAGAGAGAGAGATTTCTATTTCTGATTGTGACTGGCCATGGCCTCCAGCTGTGGTCCGCTTGATAATCCTTGTTTTAATCTGCCGGGGTGGCAGGATGATTGTGGACGCAGTCTCACTCCGAGCATCGGGAGTAAAAGGCAGGGCCTAAATCGTGGGGATTATTCGCTCTTGCTCTCTGTCACCCTCACTCTCACTCTTGCTCTCTTTTATCCTCTTTTCCAGCATCCCATGTTCTGGCCTTCATTTGTGTATTTTGGAGCAGCCATGACCACAGTTGGCGGTGTTCACCGGGGCTACCTCAGGAAATACGGTAGGCTGCTCGGCGAACATTCAGCCCACAATCCTGCACAGTCTTATAGCTTGCAATTCAATATCTTAATGTCATATTGGAGTACGTTTAGCGGTCACATCGGTCAGTTCTGTATCGGATATAGTCTGATCTGTGTGTTTTAGTTTGTTTCTGCCAAACAATGTGTCTTGCAATGTTGCTCCATTTTAGAGGTCTTGGATGGTCAATATTATGATAAAGTGATAAAATGCCTGTTGGTGACTTCAATGGAGTCTAACATTTGCACCCATACCAGTACAAAGATAAATCTCTTAAAATCCATTCCTGTTTCCATCATTTATACTATCTTATTGATTGGATGTTGGCATCTGGCACACAATGCTCTGCTGACTAAAGCGTGCAACAGATACTAGATCTATAAAAGACCTTCATAGTTTTATTGTCCACAAGTTACAGTCGTGCCCAGTTTGTTCTCTTGTTCTCTGACCAAGGTCATCACTCAAAAAATACATCTCAAATCTTTTTCCATTGAAATGAATGGAAATGCCATTAATCTGTTCAATCCCTCTCCAGAAAAACAACAAAAATGTTGTAATGTGAATTTTAAGAAGGACAAATAGCAGTGCATAAATGCAGTAGTAACATAATTACATTACATTACATTACATTTACATGACATTTTTTGTCACACTGCATCAATTGAATGGCCAGTGTGCTCTTCTTTCTGGTGTGGGCCTCATGGCCACCAGAGGGTAGTGCAAGACGGACAAATGGATATACTGTCCATTGAGACACCTCAATTCCTCTCAGCTCCTTAGTGTGGCACTAATATTAGTCATTCTTCTCGGAGGATAAAGAATGTATGACTACAAGTGTTGCTACATTGTCTGTATCCATGTGTTGCCAATCATTGGGTTCAATCTGTTGCTTAAAGGGTTACAGTACAGCAACACAGATCATATTCAGCATTACCTGTAGCATTAAGCTAGGGGACTGAATGGCTAACTTAGATGTTTGCTTAATATACAATAAGTGTATTTTTCTTGTTTAATGTTTAGTTTGACAGAAAACTGCAACTGTGAGTGGTAATAAACGGAGGGAAAAAATGTCTCTCTCTGCGGTCACTCCCTTGGTGGATTTTATTTATTTATTTATTTATTTTTTTAATAGAATGATTCTGACTCTGGAAACTTCTGCCCCACACTGACTAATCTCATCATTCCATCAGAATGGGAACATTACAAGATCGCAGATTAGAGATTCGTAAGAACAAACTCAATCTATTTTGAAAAGACATCGAGGGTGTCCATAAAGTATTTTTTTTTGGTGCAATTTAACATTGATTACAAAAGCAGAGAAATAAACACATCTGTGATTTTTTTTTGTTAAAGGAATGTGGATATTTATTTATTTATTTTTGAGGGGAGGGAAGATTTTTTTTCCCTTATTTACTGTCAACATATATCTGCCATCTAAAGGTGTTTATGACCTTCTGATGGAGCCCTCGGCCACAGCAATCAGTTCATCAAAAATACAGCCTCGCCATTTTTAAAAGGAGAATAAAACAAAACAAAAGCATGCTTTTATTTTGAATATGAGGAGTGACGCCTGAACATTTGAGATGTTCGTGTCGCTCATTACCTTGTATTAGTTATATATTTCCAAGCATTGATAATGAAGTGTACTGTATCTGAATACGTTTGTCGACATACTGTCAAATCAAACCTTTCTGTCTGTCCTGTCTCTCTCTCTTTGTCAAATCCCTTTCACGTTTAAGCCTCCATGTAGAGAAGTAGAGCAGATCTTTATCATCATGGTTATTACAGGATGAACAGCTGTCTGGAACGCTCGCAGTCTGATGTTGTCACGTGTGTCCTGTCCTGGAAACGGACAGCATTGTGTTGTCAGAGTCTTAGTCATGCCAGACTTGTTGAGAAATGGGCAGGTATACACACAATCGGGATGGTGGCTCTCAAACTTGTTTAGCGGGACCCATGGCATCCGTGAGTTGTACTTTAATTTTTTTTTTTTTTTAATATTACTTTTTTGCCCTTGGAAATAGGCTTTTTTAACGGTATTCAGTAAGGGGTTCCTCCAGCCAAAATGTTTAAGGCCCCCTGACAACATCATTAGGTATGCCGGCACCTACACATCACAGGACAAGAAATACAACTACAGCATTTTCTTAAAATATCTGACTTTAACCTTGAGACACTTCAAGTCTTTCTGAAAAAAATGCCCCCCAAAATACTGTTCTTCTATCATCAACTATGTTTCTTAAAAACATGAATAAACAAAAAATAAATACAATCTTAAAATACTGAAAAATATGTTGTGTTCAACTCACTTCACAAAAAGCAGCTTTTTTCGCAAATATTTAACAATTCATAACAAAACAGTTTATGGTCAAACTAAGCATAAAAAATGGAGAATTACACGTTGCATATTGAAAATAACTTAATAGCCTTGAGAAAATGCACATAGCTAAATGCTAACAAAGAATGCAAAACGCCACTAACATGCTACAGTAATGGCAACAGATAATACTCACAGGCATAGCGTCTATCCTTTTTGGAAAATGAATATAGCAGCATCCTACTGAGTCACCTACAAGAGTCGTTGTGGGACTTGATAGCTTAATGCTAACATGAATGGAAAACGCCATTGACATGCACGGCTAGCATTGTTAGACGCGATTTTACAACACTGAAAGCAACAGATATTTAAACACAAATGGTTCTAAACAGCTATTAAAAAACAATACTGTAGTCACATGTACATATTGTTTATCTTCTAGAAAAATGACGAATATTTTTCAGTATCTTACTAAGTAACTAAGAGTCATAGTAGGAGTACTATTTTACTTCCTTTGTCTGCTTGACTGTATTATACTGCCTCCCGGGGGCCAAGAGGGGAACACCGGAAGACACAGCTTGCAGCATGAAATCATGTTTCACAAACTGCTTCTTTTTAAATGATGTTAAGTGCAAAAATACAGGGCACCAATTTGTGTCTTAAAAACGTGTCAATATTTCTGGAGCAAAAAAAGATCAAAAAGAAGCCACTCACAGTCTGTTCCAATTCCTTCGGCAGGGGGCTTCATGTTCAAGCAGTGGAAGGACAAGTACGTGGTTCTAAGCTTAGAGGGAAGCCTGCTGGTGTGCCGTGACGGCGAGTCCCCACCCGACCAGGTGGTGGACCTGCAGAGCCATTGCGAGATGATCGTGGAGGGCCGAGAGATCCTGGACCTGCCCAGGCTGCCAGCGGGGGGCCGCAGGGACTGTTGCTTCGCCCTCATCCTGCAGCAGAACAAGTTCCTGCTCATGCTCGCCGACAACCCAGAAGACTGCACGTAGGTCTCGCCGCAATGTGCGTTTGTCAAGTTTCTATAGCTGGAAGCAGTTAACACATATACGGTAGACCACAACCATTCACAACTATGGACAGTATGTAAGTTCTCATAACTCACACCTGTTGCTAGGCAAACTTCCCCGAGCAGGAAACTGCCGTAATCACTGCTCTGTATTAAATATAAAACATATTGAAATGAGAAAAATATGCATTCAAGCATATAGTTCATATAGAATGACTTGTCATTTTTCCCTTTCGCAGTCTGTGGCTGAAGCTGATTAGGAAAGTGAGAGAGGTAAGTGTTCTTTCTTGATGTCGTACTGACATGTTCTACTTTTACTAACTGTGGCTGTGTGAATCTGTTTCCAGGGTGTCATGTCTCCCACCTACCTGCAGAGGCAGCGCAGCATCACCCGCTGTATCACCGACAGGGACCCACTGCCCGACTCCGGCAGCGACAAGGACCCCGGCTCGCCCCGGCCAAGCGAGGGTACCCCACTGCCGTCAGCACACGTCTCAGAGAGGGGCGGCTCACTGAGAGAGAGAAGTCAGAGTCAGGGTCAGTTTGTCTGTTTTACAGGCTTTGTACTTTCATGGGAATAATATTAAAAAAGTGTATCACCAATCAAAACGAAATTCGCAAGGCATGTCTTAGAACCAGACACAGACGAACCCATGCCCGAAAACTGAAAATTGAAAGTCGGTCATTTTGCTATGAAGTGGCAATTTTGAACATTTCTTGGATTTGTATCAAACTCCATCAGCAATTAAAACAAAAATGTAGAAAAACATGTCAATCACATTGAGGCGCACAAAAAAGTCTCATGAACCCGTCGTGCCCGCAAACGAACAGGAACTTGGCCGTTTTGCTGCAAAGTGGCTCTTTTCTGGCAATTTTGGAGAGTTGATGGCTTCATTTAGTGTTTTCCAAGAGACTTAGCATACTCAGCAGTCGAGAAAAAAATGTGTGACGCATGCCTATCATGACGAGACACAGAAAAATCTCCATAATACATGCTCCAAAACCTAATTTTTTTCTGCAAAGTTGCGATTTTCGGGTTAATTTGGGCATTTGCAGGAAAAATTTGACAACTGATCCAATTAGTGTAGAATAGAAAGATGGGTGAAATTAGATTTTCAATTTATAATTTTTTTTGTGGATAAATAACATTTTCATTACATCCTCAAGAATATGATACGACTCTTCTCACTTTTCTATCAGTCGTCGGACCTCGGCGGCCCCTGCGTAGCGTCTCAGTGACCCCCCCTCACCGGGTATCGGATTGTCTTCGCCACGGCAACAGCAGCGACGCCCGGGCGGTGAGGGCAGTGTGCCTCCTGATGGGCGGGGCGGCGGCCTCCTCGGCCCTGGGCTACCTCAACTCTTGCTCGCCGTTGGCGGGCAGAGCGTCCGAGATGGTCCATGCTGGCTCGGGAGGCTTCTCAGAGATGCCGGCCGGGGGTTCCTTTCATGCCTGCGACCAGGACGTGGACTCTGACACCCACTTCAACAGCTTCGACTTTGAGGGCGACTCCGACTTTGACGCATTTGACTGCGGGGGGTTTGCCTTTTAAAAGATGCTTGTATGGGCAGTACATTAAAGTGGGGGTTCTTTTAGGTCCAGGGAAGGAATTTGATCAATGACCACCTCTTAATCTTTAAGATAATTCAACATACAGGATTGTAACTGCCATGGGTACCCCTGAACGCCATAGGAAGTAAAAAGTAAGCTATTTTCGAGTGAAAAAAGTTGTAACGATAAACACTTGTTGTTCTTAAAATATCCATCCATCCATCCCTTTTCTAATCCGTTTATCCTCACAAGGGTCGCGCGGGCGTGCTGGAGCCTTCCCAGCTGTCTCAAACCCAAGGCCCGGGGACCAGATCTGGCCCGCCACATCATTTTATGTGGCACGCGAAAGCAAATCAAAGATGGCAACTTTCATGATGCTTGCTAAAATCTCTACCAACACTTCAAATCCTCATTTGTAATAAATAAGATTGATACTGTAAGCATTTTTTTCGGACCAAACTTCTTATTACAGTAACTTAAACAATCGGTGAATAAACTGTTATTCTTGACTTCTTGATATGGTTTCACTCGTAATGGCCCTTCAAGGAAAATGGTAACTAAAATGTGGCCCGTGACTAAAATGAGTTTGACGCCCCTGATTTAGAGTCTTCCATCAACTTCTTTCTCATGCATGTTTTTGGAGTGTGGGAGGAAACTGTAGAACCCAGAGAAAACCCTCCCAGGCACAGGGAGAACATGCAAACGCCACACAGGAAGCCTGGATTCAAACCCACGACCTCTGCACTGTGATGCGGACATGGTAATCAGTCACTCAGCGTGCCGCCAAATCAATCAATCAATAAATACATAAATTAATGAATAGACAAGGCTCATCTTTCTGACCTCAGATGAACTTGAAGCTGGAGTGTGAGTGAAAGGTAGTGTCTGTTTTGGCCCATGTTTATTGAGGTCACACTTGACTTGTGTTTGTTCTGGCCGGTGGAAAGCGGGTAAAGGTGCAAAGGGAGTCATACGATCAACATGACCTGGTTCCTCCTGCACGTCCCACCTGAGAACTCTCCCGCTGTGTGCGTAAGCCTTCATCATGGAGCTTACCATGACCGTCTTGCTGCTTGGGGTCCTGCTGGCTCTGCTCTGGTTACTTCTCGACAAAAACAAGAGCGGCGGGAAGGGTGGGCTTCCTCCGGGCCCGCTCGCACTGCCTCTTGTCGGAAACCTGCCACAAATTGACAAACACGTTCCTTATAAATGCCTCCTTAAGGTGAGATGCTTTTGCACCGACGACTATTATGCATGAACACTTATTGTCATTTCAAACTCGGGCAGATCGATTTTGAAAAGTCATCTAATTGCAAGATCCTCAATATTGCGATTTTGATTTTTTTTTTTTTTTATGCGATTGTGTCCTCTTCCCATTTATTATCAGTCACTACAACAATTTTTTTTTAAATCACGAAACATAAGTCAGTAAGTCATAAATTAGATAATTATTGACAATGAACAACAACAATGCAAACAAAAAATTGAATTCATCTGGATTGCGATTTGAATTTGACGAATTGTTCAGCTTCATTTCAGAGTGGAAAAAAAGAGACTTGGCATGGAAAGACCTTTTTTTTTCCTAGAAAATCTGATTTTTCAAATCAAATGACAGAGCTAAATGAGACTTGGCTGTCTTCTCATACAGATGCATGATGTGTTTTAGCTCCCCATGAAATACAATTTTAATCTTTTTTTTTTTTACTTTTTAAACATGACACTATTTCTTGAAAATATGACTTTTGCCCTACAAAAAGTCCCTTTAATACATTTGTTTTCCAAACAATGTGAGCAGATAGTGAACAATTCTTTAAAAAAAACAGTGTTTAAGCTCTTTAGTGTCTCTCTAAATTGATGTGTACTGTCAAATTAACATAAAACAAAGATAATTACTATATGAATATTTAACCAAACCACATACGGTGGTTTTAAGGGTACATTTCCCTTAAAAGTCCATTTCGCTTCATGCCAATAAACAATGCAAAATGCCATATGCGAACCAGCAAATAATTACGTCCAAATTGAATGTTTTTATGAAGCTCCATATTGTAGTATTTAACGTTAGTTTTGCAACATTGTTCTTTTTCCAGCTAAGTGAAACATATGGCCCGGTGATGACAGTGTACCTGGGCTGGCAGCGCACCGTGGTCCTGGCGGGTTACGAGACCGTCAAAGAGGCTCTGGTGGACCAGGCCGACGACTTCGCCGGCAGAATGCCTTTACCCTTTCTCGTCAAAGTGACCAACGGCTACGGTGGGTTCTGCCCTAAATGTTTACTTTAATGCGATGGGAAAAAAATGGCCTCAAAATATGAAATATTGGTTCAGTCACAGGTGGGCCATTACAAAATTTTACAGATCTTTCTTTTGCCATGTGTCAGTCTGTCAGTCATTATTTTAAGCCAAACTGGAATAATCAGTCAGTCTGTCCGTCATGGTATTTTAACCACACTTCCATCATCGCCTCAGTCAGTTAAAAAAACAAACAAACAAAAAAACATTGTAGTTCAACAGATGAAAAATCCAATTCGATTGGTTGATATTTGATTGTAACTACATCATATGGTACTTGACCAAAGAGCTTAACATACACTCACCTACATTTCACATATACTTATTTGACAATCTATTGAACTGTTAAATACAGTGAAAGCACGCTGGTAGCTGCCTGTTGATGTTTTACCTGTGAAAACTACAAAATGTTTAAAGTTTAGACGGTGAACCAGAATCCTGCTCCACATTGTAGCCAAGTGTGGAGTCCAACCCAAGTCGCTCGCACTTCTACGACCGTCTATAACAGGGGTCAGGAAACAATGGCTCGCGAGCCAGGTGTGGCTCTTTTGATGATTGCATCTGGCTTGCAGATAAAACTAAATATTCTCGCTTTTTTAATCCATCCATCAATTTTTCACAGCTCATGTCGTGTTAAGGGCTGCAGTTGGCTGCAGGAGCAATTTTAATTGTATGATACTGGCCTACGTTGGCCGTTGCTGGGTGAACATGTAAACGCCCCCTTTTGAATCAGCCCGCTCGGTCATAGCTAATCCTTCGATGAATAAGATGGCAAAAAGAAAAAAAGATGATGAGTATGGACGAATGGACCGAAGGATTCGCCTTTGTGGAGAGAACAGGTTCTGCGGTGTGTCTAATTTGCTATGACAAAATACCATCGATGAAACGGTCAAATGTAAAGCGGCACTTTGACATGCGCCATGCTATGTTCGCATCAAAATACCCTGCGGGAGACAGCAGAAAGGAAGCGTGCAAGCTACTGAGCAGGGTGCAAGCTAGCCAGCAGCAACTCCGCGTATGGACCCACCAAACTGACTATAATTCCGCTAACTTTCCTGGATCTTTAGCAATCATAAGGAATGGAAAACCATTCACATTAATGGTGAGTATTATAACCACACACACACACACACACAGTATATACAGTATATACCGTATAAAAAATGGTTTTTTTTTAAATCCTCATCTCACCCCTTGGGTGGTGTCCGTCCCCCATTCAGCTCGGGTCCTCTTCCAGAGGCCAGGAAGCTTGAGGGGTCTGCGCAGTATCCTTGCTGTTCCCAGCACTGCACATTTCTGGACTGAGATGTCCGATGTTGTTCTCGGGATCTGTTGCAAACACTCATCTAGTTTGGGGGTCACTGCCCCGAGTGCTCCGACCACCACATGCGCGACTGTCACCTTTACCTTCCAGGCTCTCTCCAGCTCCTCTCTGAGCCCTTGGTATTTATACTATACATGCTGCCACCTACTGCACAGGAAGTGCAAAGCCTTTCCATAGAGAAAGAGAGAGAGAGAGAGAGATCTATTTATCTGTCCATATACATATATACTACTGTCTTTATACACACACACACACACACATACACACTGTCGATGGAAACACCCATGCTGTTTTCAGCTCCACGAACAAACATACAAGACAGGCGGGGGCGTGTTTCTGTCAGTGGGCAGCAAAATGGGCTAGATGGATGGATATTTTGCCTTGATTTGCAGCCATTTTTGTTTCATCTTGGTGTGATTTGAGTTTTTCCACCTTTTGGTTTCTCTTCTGTCAGGTTTGGGCATCTCCAACGGCGAGCGCTGGTGGCAGCTGCGACGTTTCACCCTGACAACACTGCGAGATTTCGGGATGGGCCGCAAAGGGATGGAGGAGTGGATCCAGGAGGAGAGTCAACACATGAGGGCCCGCATTGAGACTTATAGAGGTGCTTTTTTTTATCAACCTAACTCAGTGCCTCTTCAGCTGGGGTCGCCCCAAAAAAAATTGCAATAAATTATGTTGTATTATTGAAAACTTTGCTCTCCATACATACTACAGAGCCCTTAGCTGCCTTTGATGATGTCTTCAGTGTGTGAAATCCATGATGCATTTCCATCAACGTGGTATTTTTTTCTTGTCTCGCCCCCCACTAGCCGCCCCCTTCGATCCTTCATTTCTGTTGAGCTGCACTGTGTCCAACGTGGTTTGCTGCCTGGTGTTTGGCCAACGTTTTGACCACGAGGACGCCAATTTCTTGCGGCTGCTTGCCATAATTACGGAAATGATACAATTTTTGGCCAGCCCTCTTGGCCTTGTGAGTGACATTTCAGTGTATCATTAACAGCAACAACGACAAAATTTCAGTCACCATTGATGCATCACTGGAAAAATGGTTAACTTTTTCTAACCTGAAAAAAAGTCCAAATTCACATACTGATGAGGCTTAGGTTTCTGTTAAATTCTCAACTAATTCTCAACTTCCAATACATTCATCTGTCCCAACTCTGATAAGCTTTGATGCGTCATTCAACCTATAAAACACATTTTTCAAAATCCCACCTTCCATCACATTGTCAATTTTCAGTCTATGAAATAGTTCTTCGTAAGATTTCTGAATCGCACATTCGGCACATTGTTAGAGAACAGCTAGTTGTGCAAAAAGTGCTGAAACTCAACACTAACCTCCCTAACCCTAACCCTAACCCCAAACCCTAACCACTAACCCCAACACTAATCCTAACATTAACCCTAACCCCTAACCATAAACCTAACCCCAAACCCTAATCCTAACTCCTAACCCAAACCGTCACCCCTAACCCTAACTCCTAACTCCCTAACCCTAAAAAAAAAACCCTAACCAACCCTAACCCTAACCCTCACCCTAACCCAAAACCTAATGCTACCCTAACCCCGAATCCTAACCCCTTTTCCTAACCCTAAACCTGGACATTCAAACGTTGAGAGAAGGTAGATTTAAGTTCACCTGTAAAGGCTTTAGTGCAGGGATGCCCCAGTCCGGTCCTCAAGAGCCTCTATCCACACACTTTTAGATGTTTCCATCATCCAACACACCTGATTCAAATGACCAGGATCGTTATCAGGCTTTTGCAAAGCTCGCTGATTTGAATCATGTACGCAGGAGGAGAGAAACATCTTTTTGTGAGTTGTGTGTAATATATCAATGACTGGATTCTTCCACAGATGCACAATATTTTTCCATGGCTGACCGAGCACCTCCCTGGTCGTCAGCACAGGGTGTTTGGTCACATCAAGGTGGTGAGAGCTTTTATCAAGGAGAAGATCCAGCAGCACCAAGACTCCCTCGTGCCCACCGCACCCCGAGACTTCATTGACTGTTTCCTCAACCGCATCCAACAGGTCGGAAAGAACACACCAAGTCGTTTGTGAGGACAGAATGCAACAGCTATGCCTCTCACTGAATTGATTTCAAGATTTTACTGATGACTTTTAACGCACGTACGGGTCTCACAACAAGCAGCGGAACTAAGCTTTTAAACCCTGGAATGTTCACTGTTATGTTGTTACAGAAGTAGTGGATCAGCAGTATCAGTTGTGACCGCAATTGTGCCCACAGGAGAAGCACAACGAGTCCACAGAGTTCATCTACGAGAACCTGGTGGCCACAGTAATTAATCTCTTCTTGGCGGGAACCGAAACCACGAGCTCCACCATCCGATACGCCCTCAGCGTACTCATCAAACATCCGGGAGTACAAGGTCCAAGCTCCTACAAGGACAAAGACACATGGCTAGGACCTAAGAACTAAAAAATATGATCTGTAAAAAGTTGAACGGAGCCAACTGAAGTCTTCTTAGTTCTGGAAGGCATTTCACCTTTGATCCAAAAGACTTCTTCAGTTCTACATTTTAGAAGAAATCAGATGCCTGCACTCAACCTTTTCAGATTACATCATTGCAATCATCAGGTGTTCTTTGGTGATAAGTTTTGTATTTCTTATGAGGTTGAAGTAAAGTTGTCTTATCTGGCTAACATTATTGGCTGACGCTGTTTTGCGCAGAGAAAATGCAGCGGGAGATCGACGCAGTACTTGGACGAGACCGCTGCGTCAACATGGAGGACAGGAAGTCCATGCCCTTCACGGACGCCGTCATCCACGAGGTGCAGCGCTTCCTGGACATCGTCCCGTTCAGCGTGCCGCACTACGCGCTGCGTGACATCTCCTTCCGAGGTTACATCATTCCCAAGGTAGTCCTCATTGCGCTGTTCTCATGTGCTGGTTTGGTTTTTGTTGTCTGAATGTCAGTCTTCAACAGAATACCATCATCCTGCCCCTGTTGCACTCCGTGCTGAAAGATGAAACGCAGTGGGCCGAGCCTCATTCCTTCAATCCCCAACACTTCCTGGACCACAACGGCAACTTTAAGAAGAATCTGGCGTTCATGCCTTTTGCAGCAGGTATGTGCCACTGGCACAGGGTGTCATGTGTCTCTGTGCAGCCTACAATGAATTCTCAAGATTATAAGGGCATTCTGGACTTAAATGTGCTGTCCTGTGACCGAAACCTTAAAAGGCAACAATGAAATCTTAAGACTATCTTGGCATTCATGATCAAAATGTCTTGCGCAGTGTGTAAAATCTGGTGCTGCGTTGTTACATCCGGCGCAGGGTGTCTTGAGTCTTAAGACTTTCTGGACTAAAATGTGCTGTCCAGTGACAGAAACATTAAGATGACAATGAAATTTCAAGACTATTTGTGGAATTCTGGATCAGAGTGTGTGTCTTGAGTCAGAAATAATTAAACACGATGAACTCTTAGTTGTGGTCTTGGGCTATTTTGCTGCATGTGTCAAAGGGTATCTTCTGTGCAGGCTACAATGAAATCTCAAGACTATCAAGGTAACCTGGACCAAAATGTTTTGACTGGTGCCAGAAAGCTTGAATCATGGGGCAGTCTCAGTTTTGTTCTGGGACTGTTTTGCTGTGTTTGGAAGAGGCTGTGCAGAGTGAAATAAAATTTCAGTGTCTTTGCTGCATTGGGCGCAAGTATCTTAAGTCAGTGCAGGAAACAATGAAATCGAAAGACCGTCAAGGTATTCTGGACTGCAATGTGCTGCCCCTTGTCAGAAAGCTTGAAACAGAGCGGAGTCTTATGTTGTGGGGCTCCTTTGCTAAATCCTGTGTGTGTGTGTGCGCGTGTGTGTGCGCGTGTGTGTGCGCGTGTGTGTGTGTGTGTGTGTGTCTTCTGCCAGGAAAACGATCTTGCGTCGGGGAGTCTCTAGCTCGCATGGAACTTTTCATCTTCCTGGTGACGCTGCTGCAACATTTTAGCTTTTCCTGCCCAGGTGGTCCGGACAGCGTGGACCTGACCCCGGAATACAGCAGCTTCGCCAATACACCGCGACGTCACCAGCTCATTGCCACGCCACGCTGACACCCGCACTTGGGTGCCCCCCCCCGTCACAAGTTGATCTTTTCATGCTACTGATGCAAACGCGGTTGTAACCAGTTGAAAGATTACAAAACATAAGCATACGTTTTAAAATATCTCCAATAGAAAGAGTATTCCCCAGTGTAAACTTTTGTTAAATTGTTAATTATTATCATTTTATATTTGAGCATTATATTCTTTTATGTTACAGTTACCTAAATTATATTCTGTTTAATAATTGCTGAAATATTCTTATGTTGCCTGCATCTGATTGGCGAAGAAAAGCAGGAAGTGTTTTCGTTACCGGAAGGAGGGGTGTTCGTTCGAGAGTGACGGAGCAGACGTTGGAAAATAAAAAGCTGCGTTCAAACGAAGTCCATCTCTCCTTTTTGCCCATTCCGAACATAGAGCAATCCATCCAAAACCTACGAACCCCTCAACTTACACCCAGCAGCGCTCTATTTGTATATGAATTTCTGTAAAGCCCTTTGTTACAGCTGCAGCTGATGTGAAAGCGCTCTAAAAATAAAAACGTTTTGAATTGTGTTGGAATGACCAGGTATGCCTAATGAAGTGTCCGCTGAGTGTCTCGCTGGCCTCGTATTGGCTAGTAGTGATGGGATTTTCGGCTCTTTTCGGTGATCCGGTTCATTTCGATCGGCTCTTTTTGGCTCTCAAACGGCTCTTTTAACTTTAGCTTTTCTTTTAAATATTTATGACAATTTTGGGCATACATTTTGATAAATGACTTGGTGAACTAAATATTGCACTCTACTGACTGCAAATAGCAACAATTATCAAGTAAAGAAATGGCTTTTTACTTAATGAACATTAAAAAGGCTCCAAACAATAAACAAGCAACAAAATTAAACTTCAACCAACAACAATCAAACATGCTGCATCATAACAAAAATAGTGAGTATTAACTGCAACAGCATCAGTGAACAAAACAAACATAAGCTACTCCTTGCTTTATTTTAAATTTGCAGTCAACAAAACTAAATACTTCAACTTGGAATACTTCAATTTGTCCAGTCTTTGAGAACACCCTCTCTCTGACGGGACAGATGTTGCTACAATGCACAATCTACTCTCCATTACTTTGATCAAACGGGAGTAGACGGAAGCTCGGTATTTCCACCAGCTCAGTGGATCAGCCTGCCCTTGAAATCTGTGGTTCTTCAAGATATACCCTAATTTAGTGCTTTGTGTTTTTGCACGCTTGGCTAATACTGTAAATTAAATTCAGATTGCTTGTGCTTTTCAAAGACTGAAGTCTTGAGCTCAGACTTGCACTTCAGTCACATCAGTCTTTTCACTGTTCCCGTTGGTCTCCACATGACTCGAAACTCCAGGAATCGAGCTTTTGGGTCATGTGAAACTGACGGGAGCAGCGAGGACTGTCTGATGTGACCCAAGTGCAAGTCTGAGCTCAAGACTCAAGTGGGACTTTGAAAAAGTGCTGCAATGCCCGCCCCAAACCACACCCAATTTGACATCCACCAATCGTGGTGAGGCTCTATATTTGCATAACCACGCCTATAACTTGCAGAACCAGACCCACTTTCCAAGTCCGGACCAATCAGATTGCTCCAAATTTGCATAACCACGCCTTCCTAAAGAGCCCACCAATCAGAGAACGCCTAATATGCATACCACCCCCTTTTCACCAGCAATCACAGCATGTTATCGTCATGCTCCACCCACTTTCACAGCTATCAACGAATCATCAGCCATCAATCC